GGGCTGAGACTTCGGATATTGGCTTAGTGTACAATCACGCTGTGGGGACAGTTGTTTTCTCATCGCGAGCCTGATGCCCTCAAAGTCAGGTCCAACACCTATCAACATGTCGCTCATTCTGTTCCCTTTCTTCCTGACTCCGTCCTCAATTCGTATGGCACATCGAATCCCAACCCTTCTCAAATTTCTCACAGTCTAAAGGAGCACCTGCCCAAGCCACTAAAACAATGATAGTTCAAATGGGCGCCTCCAAAGTCTGGCAACCCAGGCAGGTTGGCTTTTGGGCCAAATGTGGCGTATCCCTTTCTCTGGTCTTCGCCACCGCCCTAAGCTCCGTCATCATCGTGGCCCATTTGTAAAAATGGTCTATCAATGGCTCGTGGTACAAATCCTCATCCGATGCAATTACTTCCAATCGTGCCGCCGGGCAGTCGGGCATCCAGCTTCTCGCAACCATTCTGGGCGTCATACAAACTTCAAATGTCACCAGTCTCATACAATACGGCACGAGACTGGTCATTTTCAACGCCGGTGGATAAAAAGTTCAAAGTCTCAAAGGATTGAACAATCTTGGGATCCCTCGTATTCGGTGGGATCTATGATTTCGTTTTCGTGGCGATTCTCGCCTTATTCTGCCTGGGTCTAATAAGTTCAGCGTTATCGGTCGGCGGCATGACGCTAGTCAGCAGCACCGTTATAGAACGAGCTACCGTTCAAGCACCATCGCTCAAAAACACGACGATGATTAGGGAATATCCGTCCGAAATATCAGAGGCTGGTCCATCTACCACGATGCGGGATAGCTTGTTCACGTACCCCGTCGGGGTCAAACTTCTGAGCAGTCTCACCGTTTCTGGGTCATCCGCGACGACTTCTGACGGTTCAGTCCGCAGACGCCCCAAGATTGACAATACTCAATTCTCATCTCCGATGACTTGATCAGCTTCTATGAGCCAATTCTTGGTAACGCTTCCTATCGAGTGTTTCGGCATGGAACATGTCTTAAAAAGAGAATGGCACTTTTTCACAGAACGAAGTAGTCCTTCGTGCTCTGAAGAGCTCCGTCGTTGCTATGGCGGAGTCGATGCTCGCAGCATATGGTGCTGCACAGCTGATCGTGGGCAATTTCTTCGAACAGAGGGGAGCGAATGAGACGATCGAAGAATTTGTAATCGGGGAAAAGGTCTATTTGGTTGCAATTGCCGTGTTCAACGCCCTGGTCATTCTCGCAGTTGTTCGGGAGGCGGTAAGAACAAGAGGATGTCGAAGTTCGACATTCTAAACCCCGACTGGCTGATCACAGCCTCTTTCCGAGGCGGCGAGCTTTCCAAATCTTCGGAGGCAGACGGCGAGGGCCGCGTGGTCTCAAAAGGTTTTCAGAAGGGGCCTCATTTTTGCTACTCGCCTGTAGCGGAGACCGAAAAGAACGAGGAAAGATACATAAGTATAGTGTCGTATAGTCATCATATGGGCATCGACGGGCGTGAATGAGAACGGTTATCTATTAGAAGTAGAAAATGGGCACTATACTAAGCTCGCTCTGAGATAGAGAGTGCAGGTGAGGAAGGATCTCGGTGATTATGTAAGCGAAATCATTAGACGTGCGGTGAGGCCACGGATGGTTGAAGCCACCACGACATATAGTTACTGGCAAAACAGAAGCGCAGGAGGTATTGCTAGTTGTGCATGGGTGCCGAGACCCAATATTATCTCGATTAAGTCAACAAGCCTCGAGTGCTTTGTATCTTACCGAGTGGAAGGTTATAGGTGAAACGAATCGGTGGAACCTATTTCTCTATTTCTCTGAACACTTCCGAGAACATGATCAGGGCGGAATGTAAAGAGTATAGACGAACAGATTACTCTTTGGTTGGAAAGATATATTGATATAACACAACTTTTGCAGGAAGAAACACGGATTTTCTCACACTTTTTTCTTTTTACAACCTATTGACATACATATAGTTCACTTTCTTGGTAGGGTCTAGACCCATGTTGGTCATAGAATTAAATACCGTGAGTCAAAGTGCATTTGGAAAGAAGTTAATCCAGTATCAGAGTGCCATATTCATCTCCATGATGGAACTTATACAATGTGGTTGCTATTGAGGCAGCACAACATCTGACTGAGGGTAGAGCAAACGTGTTGACAAGTATGCACCTGCGAATAGACGCTCAAGTACAGCATACATACAAGCCACAAGCAATAGGCCACAAGCAACAGGCCAACATACAAAAGAGGTGGCAGATATGGTCGCGTGCTCAGAAATCAGTGATTGGACTTTTTGCCGATAGCTACAAGTTGCACTACATACCTACCCTCAGGAGTCCGGTCCTAGAAGTTACTAGTTGCGTAACGTTTTCAAGCGCGTATGCACAAGTCAGCGTACTAGCTTGTAGTTTCATGTACTGAACAGCAACAAGCTGATCTGATTGCCCGAAAAGAGGTCCTAACCACTGGTTGGGTTTCGCTAATATCTGCGCAAATTCACTTCTAGCGCGAATCTGATTACCCAAATACACCAGAACCCGGAGCCCGATACAAAGGAGAATGGCAAATCCCCCAAGTATACTAGAGCCGGTTCCGTAAGGTAGCTTAAGCTACCAAACTGTTTGTAGCAGTCTGCTAAGTAGTTAAAGAAAGACAGGTAGACTGGGGAGATGCCCACGGTCGCTATGTCAATGGCAGTTGCGGGAGGAACTTAGTGTAATTCAGGCCGTGCAGTCCACCCAGACGTGAAGAGCTCAGCAGAGAGAAGCAATATCTGCACATACGTGGAATAGAGACGGTGCTCTAGTGCATCTGGACTTGCTTCACTCAGCGGGAACTTGCGCTCCAGCCAGAGCCCCTGATAGATGGCCGCAATGGTGGCCAAGTCTGAGCCCACACTTGCCGCTGCAAATACACTGTCGCTCTCCGCGAGGGTGAACTGATAACCGCCCTCGAACATTAGCGATACTATGGCTAAGGTAATGAACAGTACTGACCAGCTAGAAGCCGCCCAAAGTGCTAGGTATGCGACGATGGGCTCGGCCAACAGCATCACAAAAGGTCTAGTCAAAGAGCTGGTCAACAATTGTTTGACACTCAGCTTTCAGTCATCATCTCGGTGCAGCTGTCACCGCACTTGCGGAGCCCTAGAGTGCGTTGCATTCTCCAGTCCAGAGAGATCGAAAGAGAAGCATTTGTTTCTGTGCAACTTCTGACACCATTCGTCGAGTCTGTCTCGCTCTGTCGCCAGCAAAATGCTCTGGCGCGTCTCGGGTACGAAGAACACGGAACAGCCAATCGACAGGGGATAACGACGATGACCTGAGCCAGAAGACCCATCTCCAAGTGTAATATTGCTTAGTGAATCCGCTTACGAGAGGTCCAAGACTGACTCCAAACAGTATTACACCGCCTGAGAATATTGCCATTGGCGTGTTCCTTTCGCACGGTCCGTACAGATCGGAGATGACACCGCCGCTGAGAGTAGAGTAAGTCGTACTGCCAACACCGGCAAAGAATCTAGCAACCAGCATTCCATTCGACCGAGATTGTGGGTTAGACAATACTCCTCCAGCAGTATCAACAAACGGATCTCAATATCTTGTACGACATACTCAAGGTAGGAGCGCGTCACGGCGCAACATATTCTACACAAAATGAACAAAAGGCCTGCAATAACAAAAATGGGCTTTCGACCTCTGAGCTCAGATAGTGGAGCCAGTAACATTGGAACGAGTCCAAAGCCAGTAGTAAAAGTCGTGATGCCAACTAATACCGCCACCCCGCTGAGCTCCCATTCATCCATCAGTTGTTGCTTGCCTGGTGGAAGAGAGTTCGATGCGAAAGACGCCAAGACGGCTGCCACGCAGCAAATCCAAGTCACGGCATTCTTCCGAGTTGACGACCATTTGCAGGAAGAGACTATCCGCTGTGGCAGATGTGGCACATTCTAACTTCGTCCCGCGTCGTTTTGCGAAGACCATATTCATTAGGAAGGGGTTAAATTCGACTGGCAGCAAAACAACATCGGAACAAGAAGACGATTTGAATCGTTGAGTAGACATGATCGGCTCGCTCCTTACTATTGGTAAACTCGCGGTCTAGTCCGAGGAGACTGCGGGATGCTCCGATCAACTCGATCAGTGGCCTTTAGAAGGCAACGAAAGTGTTTCGCAGACTTATCACTGAATGATTCGTGGCCAGTCATCGGTCGAGAATTCGGCACTTCGCTCTTTCCCGCTCAGTGCTGTTGGAACAGAGCAATATGGGCCAGACTCTATAATCATGACCGGCAGTGACAGATTTGACAAGCCGAGTTCTGGTCTCGCGTGGCACCATAGCCAACATGGCGTTCAAAAACAAACTATTGCCTTAGTAAGTAAGCTTAACACAACTTGGTTCAAGTTGGTGGCTGCAGCCAGACCAGAGATAATCCAACTCGTCGTTGGACAAACGGCAGCCCGCAGATTGCGTCCTTCGCGCATTGGTGTTGATTCCTGGGCGTGGAGATCAGGGGGCAATTTAGCTAGCTCAAAGGCCTCTCATCTCGCCTTGTTGGCGCCCGCTGCCAATCGTGGCGACAATTTGGATCGTGAGGGAGCATTCCCAAAGAGGAAAGGCTCTTCACAAGGAACCAAGCTGGACCTAACGATGAATCTTCAAGCTACAGAGCGGGGAAGCTTCAGTGCAACTAAACCAACCACTTGGGATCCTTAGCGTCTAAATAGATCCATGATCCAAGCGGCAATTTGTTCCAGCCCAAGACACTCAGCACATGTGGGGGAAGAATCCTGTCAGGTCATTCGGAAAGGGAGTCACGGCTGGAGACGACTTCCAACCCAACCACAATTTCCTCTGGAATCGTCTTACATCGGGATATTTAAGACCATTAGCCTGTCCGATGTAGAATGACGAGATAACCACCACTCGGCACCTCATTCGTTCACCTCCTCACTACCACTCTCATTTCTCGAGTTGAATACTCGGACCTCAACTTTCGTTTTTCACCATGTCTTTCGCTACCTTCTCCGGCATCGGTCTTATGGCCATGCACCTAATGGCACCCCTGGTGTCTGGTGCCGCCGTTCAGGTTCAGCCCCGCGGACAGCTTCAAGCTCGAACCTTCGCCGATAAGGGTTGCTACTCAGAGCCCCCCAGAGACCACGGCCGTGCCCTCAAGGATGCGAGCTTCTCCTCGGACTCGATGAGCACCCAAGTGTGTTCCGACTTCTGCAAGGATTACGTGTACTTCGCAACCGAGTACGGCAGGGAATGCTACTGCGGTGATGTTCCCACCGACTCTGCACTTCCAGCTGATCCTGGCGACTGTAACATGCCTTGCAACGGCATGGACGATCACTCCAGATGCGGCGGCCCGAGCCGTCTCAACCTCTACCAAACCGACGGCTACAGCGGGCCCTCCGTGAAGGATTTGAACAACCGCGGCTGGTCTTATCTTTATTGCCACACTGAGGGCGATGGAGGTCGTGCCCTCAGAGAGGACGGATACTCCTCTGACAACATGAAGGCTGAGGACTGTGGCCAGTACTGCTCCAATAAGGGCTTCAACTTCGCCGGTGTGGAATACGGGCGCGAGTGCTATTGTGGCAGCACTATCCACGGAGGTAGCATCGCTGCCGAGGCCGACTGCCAGATGCGGTGCTCGGGAGATGCCAAGAGCTACTGTGGCTCGGGTGGACGCCTTAATATCTATGCTCGCACCGTGCCTGGACCTGTCAGAACCGATCCCCGAGCTACCTTTACTTATGCCGGTTGCGCAAAGGACACGCAGACTCTCCGCCTCCTCGAGACTGGTTCCAGACTCACCGCCGACGACATGGACGCCTACAGTTGCTGGTCTTACTGCTCCAACTACAAGTTCTTTGGTGTCGAGAATGGCAACGAGTGCTACTGCGCCAACACTTACTCGCTGGACCTTGAGCTAGTGTCTGACTCCGAGTGCGACACTCCCTGCTTCGGCAACGGATTTTACACTTGCGGTGCAAAGGACCGTCTGAACCTCTACAACAGTGGCAGAACTCTCGCTGTCTCCGTTTCCACATCCCAGTACTCATACGTCAAGTGCGCCCAGGAGACTACCGGCGGCCGTGCTTTGGATGGTGACCACTTCGCTGACGACAACAACATGACCGTTGAGATGTGCGCTAGCCTCTGCAATAATGGCAAGGGCGCTACGTACTTCGGTCTTGAGTTCGGCAAGGAGTGTTTCTGTGGTACCGGCGAGCCCGCGATTGCTGCTGATGAGGGGCAGTGCTATTTCAAGTGTACCGGTAACTCTAGTGAACTGTGCGGTGCCCCGGACCGTCTTTCTGTGTATAAGTACTACTAAGAATTTCAAAAAGGTCTTAATTAAAAAGAGAGGCCACGGAAGTAGAATATTACACAGTCAAGCATGGTCTAGAGACGTATAAGAGAAATCTTGTTTATTTTATGTAAATTTATTTAATAAGGATGAATGATCTTTTTAATAGTGTTTTCCCCTTTATTAAGATTCGATTTCTTTAATAAATATTGAATTTATTACTTTTATTAAATATTTAAGCTTTTAAATTTAAAGTTTGTTACTTTTATATATATATATATATATAAATACTTAAAATAAAAGCTTCGAAAAAATAGAAAATATTATTAACCTTAAAAGCCGAAAGGTTAAGCTTAAAAGAAATCTAGATTTATAAGACCTTAAGCTTATACTATTCTAAAAAATATTTTACTCGTTATTATGAATTAAGAAAATATAATACTTATTATTTAAACTAATTAATATTTTATTTATTATTAATATATTAAAAGGCTATAATACTTAGTATATAACGTATATAATAAGCAAGCTACTTAGATAAGCGAGCTACCTACCTAACTACGACTATATTATATTCGTAACTAACAAGTAATACTAAGAAAAGTAATTTAATTAAAACTATTTAATATCCTCTTTTTTAAATATTTCTTTAGTAATTTAGTGTATTTACGTATTATAATTAGTATTTTTATAAATATTATATTATTATTAGCTTATTTTAGTCCTTAGTTAATAACTACTATTTTAACGCGTTTTTGTTTTAATTTAAGTTATTACCTCTTTTTATAACTAAAGGTCTTTTTTATTAATTATTATAAAACTTTCTCCTTATTTAAGACGTATTTTCTTAGCCCTTTTATATTAACTAAATAAGTTATTTTCTTTTTAAAAGATTTAGTTTTTTAATTTTAATAAAGTAATTTAATATATAAATCCTCGCGCCCCTTTTAATAAATATTTTATAATTTTAATAATTAAAATTAAAGAGCTATTTTAATAATAAATAATTTAATTTTTAATAAGTTATAACTATAATAATACTTTTATTAAGTTATTTAGCGTTTAAAAAGTCTAAACTAGGGGTATTATTAAAAAGGATTTTAAAAGCGTCGGAATATATAACTTTATATTAAGTTTAAGTAAAATACTCTTTATATTTAAAAATATAAGCCCGGCTCCTCTAAATCCTCTTTAAATATTTATTTTTATAATTATTTATATAAAAGTTTTATAAAACGCGGGAAAGAAGTCCTTTTTTATAATATAAGTATTACCCCGTAATATTTTTTTTTAATTTTTTAACTATACGCCGTTTTTAAAAGCTTAAAATATTTAATATCTAAGGGTTAAAATAAATAGGATAAATAAGCTAGTATATAAAAGGTAATAATATTATTCTTTTTATAATATAACTTAAAATCCGTAAAATAATAACTTTCGTATCTATTAACAATAAAAAAACAATATTAACTTTTTATATTTAGTTTTATTTACTATTTAAAATATTTTACTTAATTTAGGCCTCTTTTATTTACTATCTATCCGTTTTTAAATATTATAATAACCTAATTATATAATAAACCGGATTTTATATACTAAATAAAGAGGTAATATTATCTTATAATAATAATATATAGCGGAACGCTATAGCCCGACGAACTAATAGCTTAAATAATTATAACTTATTTATAATTACTAAGTTATATTATTTTCGTATTTAAACGCCTTTTTATATTTATAATAACTATTTTAAATATAATCTAGCTTATTATAAAGCTAGTTTTATCGAAATTATAAATATTAAATTTTATAATATTATAATTTATAATTATATTTATTATAAAATAAAACTACGTATTTATTATATTTAAATCTTTATATTAAGCCCTTTTATAATTATATTTATAAAAAAATTATATCTAGAGCTATAGTTAGTACTTAATAAAATTAAAAACTTAGTACTTCTTAATAGGGGGTATATTATAATTAGTAAGTAATTAATTAGCTATATTTTTTATATTACTAAAGCGGAGAGGAAATAATTAGAAATCTAAATTAAAAATATATTTAAATAGCTTCTTTTTTTAAAATATAATTGATTTTTATAAGTTTAGTATAATATTTTATTATATAAGTATACTTTTTAAATAAGTACTTAAGGTCCTAAGAGGGACTAAATAAATCTTAGTTATTACTTAAATACTTAGTTTTAGGGTTTTTTTAATAGCCTAGATCGCTAAGTTTAACTAAGCTTTTTTAATTTATAATATTATAATTTTATTATAACGTTACGTAAAGTAAAAAATAGAAGATAAGATAGTCGTAGTTAGGTAAGTAGCTCGCTTATCTAAGCAGCTCGCTTATTATATATATTATAAATTTTATAATTTAAATTAGTTTTAATTAAATAACCGGTTTTATTAATTATAATTTAAATAAGATCTATTTCTTTTTAAAAAAGAATATTAATATAAAGTATAGAGCAGAGAATTGCTTATTTTACCCCTATGCGGTATGTATAACCCACGGTGCATTGGCAGACCTAGCTAGTTCTTATCCTATCTATCTTAATCCGATATCCATTTAATAGGTCCTTTTCCGCCCTAAATCGTGTACTTTAGCTTTGGCTCGCAATGGAAATCCGTCTAGCTAACGTTGATGCTGGGTAACGGCGTCGTTAGAGGCCGATCCTGGGGGTTGGCGTACCATTGTCGCTTTAATAGGCAATCGGCCTGGTGTGGCAAGGTGGGATTCACGGAAATCGAAACGCTAATCAGCCGGTTGCAGCCTTAACTACACCGTCGCACGCGGTTGGCTTGGGGTAGTGGCTTAGGTGGAATACGCTCTAGCCCGCATTTGCGCATCTAGTTCAGACAAACGCCTCGATCAAGTTCTTTGTCATATTCAACAATAGGGTGTCCCAAAACTCATTACGCGGCTTGAGCCGAACCGGCCTACTGGGAGATTCCGATTAATTTCCGCGCCAGCTCCTCACTCTTTCCCAGGAAAGGGCTATGCCCAGCTGTATAAAAGTATCCTTTAGGTGCGATAAGGAGTGTCTCACTTGCGTATCTGTCTCATTTGCTTATTAAGTACGTTAAACATAGGCGCAAACTTCGGCGTTATATGTGCAGCATAATAAAACAAGAGTTCAGTCAATTCGCATTGCTTCACTACTTCTTAATTCCTCTGAAGTTCCGGAACAAGATCATGCGCCCCATCTCGCCCCAGAAAGTCTGGGATTCCTCCATCATTTCAGCTTCATAAGCATCCACTTGCGGAGTCTCCCAAACCAAATCGACAGCCTTCGGATCATAGATAGAGGTTCTCTTGAAAACTTTCCAGAAGATGTAGAAGAGGATAGAAAGAATGGTCATTGCATAGCAACCGAAGAACGCCCCGACGTCAAAAGGGCTGAACGAGGTGTACCCAAACGTGCCAATGACAACACTGAAAAACACACTAGCAGCGTACCCACCTGCCAGATATTGTGATTAATGCACTTCCATGACCATTCTAGCACGGGTTCCAGAACTTACAGTAAGGTTGTCCCCATCCATAATAAGGCAGATTCTTACGGTCTATACCTTGCACCTTTGTGGCTTGGTGGTAAAACACATAGGTAATCGACATGACCAGATAGTTAACCAAAGCCCCACCAGTAACCTAAGGCATTAGTGTTAGCCACTCTCCTTAGGCTTTTGGAGCATGAGACTTAAATTGCTGGCTTACCAAATTAACTAAAATGCTGAGCACTCGAGCTGCTTGCTTGCCTTGCTGAAGGAATGAAAGGCATGCGAATGCCATGGTCAAGGCAAGAGCGTAGACCGGCACACCCTGCTTCGTACAGATTTTAAGGAACGCAGGTGCTCGGCCTTCAAGTGCCAGGCTGTACAGACTTCGCGAGGCGCAATAAACGTATGTGTTGCCAGCGGAGAAGATTGATGTAACAAGCAGAGCGTTGACGACATGTGGGAAGACGGTGATCTACAAGAACGTTGTGAGCTACAGTCGGAACATGCACATGAAGGTCCTATTCTACAACGTGAAGATGCTTACCCCCATGTTACGCATAGCGATCACGTATGGCGACGCTGCTGCTGTACCGCCGCCTGATCCGCTGCCGATCAGGATCTCAGTGAGTGTCTTGTCATCAGATGGAAGTACGATTCCGACTGCAATGGCGCTTCCTAAGAATAAGAAGAAAAATCGGATGTAGATCGTCTTGTACGCGGCTTTGATGTACTTTCGGGGATGCTTCGCCTCGGCGCTGACAAGGGAGATATACTCTGGGCCGACAATACAAAATGAAGCAACCCAGAGGGCAGCGAGAAACCCCTCAAAACGACCAAGAGATCCGGTAGTTCGTACTTCCTGAACGACATAGTCAGCTAATGCTCTTTCAACCCAGTCATCCATCGTAAAGAAAGTGCCGCAGCTTACAGCGAAAGCTTCAGGATGATTCCAATTGCGGAAACCGTAGGCATCGCCCTGAGGGTTTCCCCCGACCATAGTGATGAATGTGAACAAGAACAGAGCCAAGACAAGGATGACCTTGCCACTAGACAGCCAGAACTCGGTTTCTCCATACGCGCTCACGACCAAGCCGTTGATGAGTGTGTAAAGAATGACACATGCTAGGCATAGTGTCCAAATTGGAATGTCATGGCTCCAATATTGCACTACAACGGCCAAGGCACTGATCTCAAAAGGGATGACAAGGGCTTCGTAAATGAAGAAGTTCCATCCCGCGGCGAAGCCAAAGGCTTCGTCCACAAAGTGACCAGCGATGCGAATAAAACCCCCAGCAACGGGATACTGGGTCATCATCTCGGCCATGCCATTGTTCACCAGACCAACAAAGAAGCAGTAGAAGATGAACGCCAAGAGAAGACCCGCGGGACCTGCTGAGTGCAGACCACTACCGATACTGATGAACAGCCCCGTACCAATGGAACCACCTGAATCCAGAGAATTAGTACGCGTCACAGCCTGATCCAAATACCAATTCATTCTCACCAATCGCAATGAGTTGAATTTGTCTGTTATTTAGTCGGCGTTGAAGCTGCTCGGCCTGAATAACGGTGCTTTGGGCCACTGAGTTGTCGACCCTGAGCATTCCTCCAGCCTGACAAGACTCGGTCCGCTTCAAATCATGGCCCTTCCCTGAGTCGTTATGCATCTCTGAATTATTTGTACTGCAAAATCGAGGTGTGACGAGGTTGACAGTGGGTTTAAAGATGGAGTCATGCGAGAGACAGATGTGAAGACACCAGGTCCGGACTATATGGCAAGTAGCGAGGTTCCTACATGCGGAGAGAGAATTCGAGGTAGCCGTCCGGGGATGAGTGATATGAACTTTGATTGGTTGTCCATATCAGTTACAGGGATGGATATCGGCCGACGGTCCGTAGTCCGATGGCCATCTCCAACTACCACAAGTTTTTGTCACTAAGGCACACGTCAAGCATTGTGTGCGCCTCATTTGCTAATCGATGAATCTGCTGTGAACACCCAAAAGTTGATTGTTAGTACTAGCGTGGCCAGCGACATGGCCCTGGCAATCTCGAAATTGCTCTCATTGCGCGGCGCCTCTCTGTCCTTGGCGACTTCAATGGCGCAACTTTGCGAAAAGCCCCTGAGATCAGGTAGTGAAAAGCACATTGCCTGCCTGTCGACGTCCGACAGAGCGCGTTTGAGGATGCTTAGAAAGAATCGAGCGCGGGAAGATTTGGTAGACTTGACTCCGCTGCCAACTTGGCGGGCATTCTCAGACCCTAGGCGCTAGTGATAGATCTCATCGGCGAGCAACTAGCTTTCATTACGTCGATCAATGCTGCTAGGGTCTTCCACTGTCTCCCAGTCCAGATCCAGATTTCTCAATGGGTTTCCTGTGTTGTCTATCAGCTTGACTCGAATTGCGAAGTCCGGTGAAGACTGACCTGCCATACGCGTACTTGTCTTGGATGATCCTATTGAGATCGCACGCAGAAGAATACGGCGGCGGAATCTCTGCGCGTTCTAGGCTTGCAGTATTTCCAGCCTCTGTAAGTTGCAGCGCTGTCGAAAGCCCCTCGATTAATGTTCACACGCTTTATCATAGGCTAGTCGCAAATAGGTGCAGTTAGTCCCGACCACAATCATTCCGCCCGTGTTATCGAGAGGATGCCAGGAGCGCAGCACGAGAATATGGGGACAAGGCGACCATGTCGGTCTCGGGGCCGATATGTGGGCTAATACCCTGCCAAGCCTCTTTCGTCGGCCAAGTCGCCGATAATAGTACATCCGTCATTCCTTCACGTGACACGTGAACGAGAAGGCCAAGCGATGGGTTCCTTGCGGAGCTATCCCCCTAAAGCAGCTAGTTTCATTTCTTGCACGGCAGAGACGCCGCAGCTGTTTGGCCTTTTGGAATCACGATTGCTACCATCAGATTATCGCCGAGGAATGCAGACTGGCGTTGACTGTGTCGCATACGAGGCCGATGCAGGACCCCCGTTTAGTGTCGAAGCATTGATGCGACATGGAGATGAAGGAAGGTCTATCTCCCCACACTTCAGCCATCGGCCTATCTAAGTATCATCATGACGATCCAAACTTGGAAGCCCTTCCGAGGCCACCTCCATCCCAACTAGAGCGGCATCGGTCTCTCCGCCGGCCACCGATGTCGTCGCCGTTGCGCCAAACTGAACCTCTTCCGGATCTCTATCCACCCCAGCCTCTCTAGCAACTGCCAAGCCAGCATGTGGACCCATCTTTACGGAGTTGAGCGCTGTTCTAGGAGATCGGACTTCAGACCGAGATATTGGCCTGTGTGTCGTCTCACACTAATCGTTTCGTCAAACTACGTTTGACTTTGCTAAAGACGTGTCTTTCGGTTTGTCTAAAAGGTTTCTAAGTTCCAAGTCTGCTCTTCGATCTGGTTGCGACTGTTTTGCTTTACCACACACACATACACACACACACGCCACGATGTCCTCGACTTCAAGAAACGATCCCATCTTGATTGTTGGTGCTGGCGCCTTTGGGCTGTCTACAACTGTGCACCTGTTGAGGGCTGGCTTCAAGGACATCACCGTCATCGACAAGGATGATGATGTCCCCTCAGCGTACTCGGCCGCTAACGATTTGAACAAGATTGTGCGTGCTGAGTATGAGGATGATTTCCATAGGGAATTGACACTGGTAGGATTTATCCTGGCGCTCTTTAACATCTGTGAATATTGAAGCTGACAATTGACCTCCAGAAAGCTATCGACGCCTGGAAGACGCCTCTATTCGCGCCTCATTTTCACCAGGTCGGCTTTATAAACGCCTGCACACCCGTAGCGTCCAAGGAGGCCGTCAACACCATGAACCGCTTCCGCGCCTCCGCTGAGCGATCTGAGCGAATGAGGCACTATGTTAAGTCGATCGACTCCAAGAGGGACCTCGAAGCTGTATGCTGGCAATATCAAAATTCGCCATTTCCCGGTTGGCACGGGTACTTCAACGGATGGAGCGGCTACGCCAACTCTGGCGCTGCTCTGCGGACCGTCTACAACGCTGCCAAGGTCCAGGGCGTCAAGTTCATCCTCGGAAGCGCTGGTACTGCATCTGAGGTCGTCTACCAGGGCTCCGGCTCTCAACGCAAGGCCATCGGTGTGAGGACCCCGGGTGGTCTCTTCTACCCTGCGAAGCTAGTGATTATCGCTGCCGGCGCGGCTGCCGGCAAGCTCGTTCCGGACATCGGCAGTGATCTCGTAGCCAAGTCATGGTCCGTTACCCACATCGAACTAACGGATGACGAGACCGCCGAGCTCCGCGGCATACCTGTTACATATGCCCGTGATCTGGGTTTCTTTTTCGAGCCTGACCCGAAGACCAACCTACTGAAGCTGTGCCCTATGGGTGGTGGCTACGTTAACACCGACTCTAGGACGGGTATCTCTATCCCACCTGCGTTCAAGGACAGCCAATTCCTTCCCAAGGGCGACGAATTGCAGCTTCGCGAGTTACTGAGGCAAACCTTCCCCAGGTTTGCGGATCGTCCCTTCGTCAGGAACTCCTTGTGCTGGTTTGCTGACACCGCCGACTCCAACTTCATCATCGACTACGTTCCTAACACTTCCTCGTCTTTGGTCATGCTCAGTGGTGACTCTGGCCATGGTTTCAAGTTCTTCCCCATTTTCGGCAGTTTCGTCAAGGATCTGATAGATAACGAGAGCGGGAAGCAGACCATCGAGCAATGGAGGTGGAAGGCTGGGGAGCAGAAGAGCGGCAACTGGGGTGAGGAGGTTAGCTGGAGGTTGGGCAAGAGCAGGGAGTTCATTGATATCCTACCTAATGTAGAAGCTAAGCTGTAGAGACTTCTTTCTCATTCCATTTATAGCTTTTAGAGTTTGATGTGCAGGCTACTTACGTCCTCGTGTTAATGGATGATTAATTCATAACATTATCTCTCACAAATTTCTAGCAAACTGCCAACCGCCGGTACATTGCATTGCCTTGTAAAGTGAAGCTCAGAGACGTCCTTGTCTTCGCCGTCATATCTCCGGGTCAAATCGTTACACGTAGTCAATGTCACAACATGCTGAGAGTAGTGGAGATGTTCCTCAAGAGTCGTGTGCCGATTCTTGCGTCGTTCCTGTCCTTCCAGCTTAGTGTTCACTTTTCCGGGCGCCAGTGCGCGGTTTAACCGCATGGCAGAGCGACCAATGCCGAGCTGAAATTGTGGACAATTGTCCTGATGCCATCTAGAATACTGTATAATAAGTCTATCAGGAGCATCGCGATGTTGATGTTTTCCTATCTAGAATTCCGATAAATGTCTATCATTCTTCGTAATGTTGAAAACATGGAAAGACACAGCAAGGCCAGGCCTTAAGTCTCAAAAAACGACCAAGTTACGCTCAGCGATGACGAGGCCATAGAGGAATATGTACATCAACCGTATGCCATCACAGTTTGCTCTGACCCGAAGTTTTACCCGAAGTAATCCATCCGCCATCAATATTGTATACTGCGCCAGTTACGAAGCTGGCGTCCTCGCTCAGCAAAAACGCAATCACCGTGGCTACTTCGTCGGCGCTGCCCATCTTTCTTTGAGCGTTGGCCATCAGGCCATTCTCTACACGCTTAGGGTCATGATCCGCAGACATTGGGGTATAGATGACACCTAACAGGGGACGCCAGAAGTTAGCCCCGAGCTCCAAAAGTCACGTATCAAACCTACCAGGGGCAACACAGTTGATGCGGAGATGACCATTCTCCTTGGCGGCGGCAGTGGAGAGGGAGATGACCGCAGCCTTACTGGCACAGTAGATAGAGCTATTGGGGAGGCCCACCTGGCCAGAGATACTAGCCGCAGAAACCTATAATAGGTTTTAGCAGGCCGGTTCGAGAGACTGTAGCACGCATAATGTGGTGGAATACTTACGATAGCACCACCTTGTTCAAGGGCCTTGATCTGCGACTTGAGACAGTTGAAGACGCCGTTGACGTTGACAGACATGACAAAATCGAGGTCCTTCTCGGTAGTGTCCAAAATAGAGGTGTGAGAAGGGCCGAGCACACCAGCCATGTTGACGGCGCCATCAAGTTTACCAAACTTCTCAACCGTCTTGTCGATCCACGTCTGAACAGAGGCTGGGCTACGGACATCAACAGCTATGGCGAGGTGTTTTTGAGTCCCACCCGGCAAGGTTGTGATGACCTTCTGCAGCTTAACCTCACTCAGATCGGCCAGGGAGAGTGAGGCACCGCGGGATGCAAGCAGCCGGGCTGTGGCGAGGCCCATACCACTGGCTGCGCCTGTAATGGCAATCTATTTCGGTGGGGAAAGGATGATTAGCTCGGGTATCGGAAAAGCGGTAGCAAGATACGCACCACTTTCTTGTCGAATGAAGCCATGATAAGATCAGGGGCGGGTGGTGACTTCAAGGATGAAACGGGCGGTGCTCATTGATGCGGACTTCTTGGGCTTGCTGAAGCTTTTAAGAAATAAAATAGAAGAAAAGAAAGCCGTAGACAATAGACAAACACCCCTTCTTTGCGAGGAAAGACTGTAAAATCGCTGGCCTTGGGCTTCGGTCCGCGAACTCTAGCAGCAATTCGTAGCCGCAGAACTAGCTTCGGTCTCGGCCCCGACACCGACACCGACACCCACCCAACCCGTTAAGGTAATCACAGGGGTCTTGATAAGCGGGGGGACGGGGAAACACCCCTCAGTATCCACACAAAGATATCCCAGCCGCCTTTGGTCGGGCTCTCGGCCTCCTCCCCGCCTTCGGCCCCTAAGACAATCACCAAGCTGAGAAGAAGTAGTCGAATACATTCGTGTTGGTTTTTAAGGCAGTAACGTCCGCCATGGCATATTCTTCGTTCGTGATTTGAATCTACATCGCCGCCCGCTGCAGTCAAAACCATCCGTTTAATCTTCTTACTTCTCCCTCACTCAAAGACATACACAAACGATAAAGGATGTCTTCCGACACAACAGACGAGGCATTCGATGTCCTCATAGTAGGCGCAGGGATGTCTGGAATCTGCACCCTCCATAGCATCAGGACCAGGTTCCCCAATTGGCGCGTCCGCGTGCTGGATTCGGCGCCGTCGGTAGGCGGCACCTGGTACTGGAATCGGTACCCAGGCGCCCGCTTCGATTCCGAGTCCCTCTCATATACATTCTCCTTTGACAAGAAGTTGCTCGACGAATGGCACTGGAAAGAGCGCTTCTCGGCGCAGCCGGACACTCTCGCTTACATCAACTTCGTCGCCGACCGCCTTAACCTGCGCCCCGACATCCAGCTCAATACCCGCATCGTCTCGGCCCGCTGGTCTGATGACGAGCACCGTCGGTGGATCTTTGCAGATGAGACTGGCCGCTCGTACTCCGCCAGATTTTTCATTTCGTGCCTCGGTTTCCTCTCAAACCCCACCCTACCTGCCATTCCCGGCATCCAGGACTTCGAGGGCCAAGCCTTTCACACGTCGCGTTGGCCAACTGACATGAGCCACCGTGACGTGGTCGCCGGCAAGCGCGTGGGAATCATCGGCACTGGTGCAACCGGCATCCAAACCATCACCGCCCTGGCCAAGATTCCTGAGCTCAAGTCGCTAACCGTCTTCCAGAAGCAGGCCATGTGGGCTGCGCCTCTGCGTAACACCACTATCTCTAAGGAGGATATGAACGAGGAACGAAAGAATTACGCAGAGACGTTTAGGTTACGCAGCGAATCCCCAACCGGCTTCATTCACTCGCCTGATAAGCGCAAATCCAACGAGGCCACCCCCGAAGAGCGCCTTAAGCTTTGGGAGAGCCTTTATAACAAGCCTGGTATGGGCAAGTGGCTGAGTGTCTTCTCTGATACTTACACGGACCGTGAGGCCAATAATTTATACTCGGCCTTTATGGCCGATAAGATCCGAGCCCGGGTCAACGACCCAGAGATCGCTGAGAAGCTCGTCCCTAAGGATCATGGCTTCGGTCTTGCCCGTGTGCCTCTTGAGAGCGGCTACTACGAGGTCTATAACCAGCCCAACATTCACCTTGCCGATATCAGCGTCAATGGTATTGCGAAAATCACCCCTACTGGCATTACCCTGGAAGACGGCACCAGCTATCAGCTAGAGGTGCTAATCTACGCCACCGGCTTTAACGCCATCACTGGCGCTTTCGTCAACGTCGACTTCCGCGGTAAGGACAACGTCCCGCTCATGGCCCAGAGCGGCGAAGCCGACGCCGACCGCGCTGCCTGGCTTGACTTCATGCCCCAAACATACCTCGGCATTACGGTACCCAAGTTCCCCAACATGTTCATGGTCCTTGGACCTCACCAGCCTTTTGGCAACGCCACGCCCAATATTGAGCACGCTGTCAAAGTCGTCACCAGTATGCTCGAGACGTGTTACGAGAAGGGTATTACTTATGTCGAAGCAACCGAGGAGGCCGCTGACTACTGGAACGACCACGTCGTCAGGGGTAGCGAGGGTGCTCTTCTCAACGAGGTGGATAGCTGGATGACCGGTATCAACAGAAACGTCGGCAGAGTCAAGCGCGGCGTGGTCCGCTATGCTGGAAGCGCCTTAGAATACCGAAGACAATGCGCAAAAGCCAAGGAGAGCGGGTGGGATGGTCTTGTCATGCTCAAGGACCAGGGCGCAATGCAAGAAGCCAACCCAAGCAGAACCTTGGCCAAGTTGTAGGCTTACATCGTATTTTTCCGAATAGACATGAATATCGTACTCTTTTCTTAGAGTAATAAAATGGAAAACGGTGTTGGTCCCTTCTTGATGCTTGCCTGTAAATATGGGTTTGTAGAGATGATGTAGAGGTGATGAATGAGGATTGAGCAAAACACAATTCGGCCGAGTTTAAGCCATAAGCTCGAAATATACCAAAGTTGAACTAAAGGCATGCCGCGGTATTCCGTTGATCTGGCCTGGAAGCAGTCGAGGCTTAACGTTCCGTGAAAGGTCGCATGGTGTCTTGTTTAGCGTCTTTGCACAAGCCGGGTTATCCAGATGTGTCTATGATAACACTGGATGGCGTCTTCTTTTTAGTGAACGGCTCGTCGATTTTCGATGTAGTCAAAGCACGAATAGTGATCTCCATGGCTATCTTGTGTGCACAAATCAGACTGAAGGGCCAGCGGCTGTGAAAATCAGATAATATTTACATGTATCGAACTGTATCAGCAGGAAGTAGCCACGGGATAGGGTCATTGAGCTCGAATTCGCGAGCCAGTGTAAGTATGTCTTCCGACCCAACGCAGAAATCAGCAAAATCCCACAGACCAGTACCCAGACCCGTAGCGTCTGGATAGCTATTCACCGGCGCCCAGTCTTTCTGGCCCTGGCCATCGCTCGCTCGTCCGTCGCAGGATCTGCCTAGTGTTGATGGATCCAACCTTGAGGGTTCTATTGGCAGATAGGAGCGCTCACTGGCCGACTCCTCAGTCCGATGAGGGGCCAATAGAGTGTCAAGATGCTTCAGTTCGGCCTGACGAAGCCCAGCTGCTACGCTTCCCTTGCATATTAGAGCTTCGAAAACCACAACCACCGACTGACGCCATCCCGACTGTGGAATGTGTGATGGCAAGAATGCTGAAAGTATAGAGAGCAATGTGGCGGCAGAGAACGCGCATTCGAGATGAAAGGGTAAAAATGCCTCTGCAATAAATTATTAATAAACTTAAGGTCGACGGTATAAGTCAACTAACAACGAATGGGAGCCAAGAATACCTATCATTTCAATTTGAGCCAGATCGTCTAGTGCCGAAAGTATTGCTGCTGCTGATCGTCCGGACTTCTCGATAAGAGTAGCACCAGGTCCCGTCAACCACTCGGGCTCAACTCCCGGGCAGAATTTTCGCGTAAGTAGCCATATCATAAGCGGCCGGGTCGCTAGAACTATGCACTGCGTGATTTAGCATTTGCTCAATCAGTAATTTCTCGTAAACGGTGTTCTTCTTGTCTTGCAACTAACATGGTGATATGATAGATTTATGTTGATGAACATTTGTGGCGGTTCGCCACCGTTAACCCTGTAGAAGGAGATGATTCGATCAATGTCTTGAGAGAGCTCTGCAAGGCTATGCAAATTTGATGTTGTATCTCGCACAAAATCTGAGACGGACTCTTGATCAAAGCTGTAGCTACCTAGACTCATATCAATATCAGATGCAGAAGAATGACGAGGAGATTGGTATTTTCGTACAGCTGGTTATAGTCAAGACGAGTCGCGATAGACGCACCCGTAGACTGAGTGCTTTCTCTGAATGATCAGAGGACAGTAAATCTGGAGTTGAGGTGGTAATGTAGTCTTGTGACAACGTTGATGGGCATCCTAGCCCTGCGGAGATCTCTTGATCGAGCACGTAAATGCCCCACCAGGTATTGCTGAATTCAGCTATCAGTTTGGGGCCAACATCCTTTGGCATGCGACGATGAAGGCCATCATGTAGCGCTAGGCGAAATGCTTGGCCGATCTGCAGGTGCAGTAGGTCAAAAGGTCAGACTTCCGGAATTTGCAAAGCGGGTAAAGGGAACATCCGCACTGACATATTGGTACGCTGATGAACGCATGTCGATAGCGTGAAGATACAGCGCTGATAAAGCCAAAACTCTAATGGCCAACAACGCTGGGCGTTTGTTTTGGAGAAACGCCACATCCGGCAATAGTGACAGAGCTCGCGCAGCAAGATAAGCTCCATTGAGAGTCTTCTTTGCGCGCGAGGTACTGCGATAACCAGATGTGAGTGCCTTACCCAGAGCAAGTATCAGAAGGTACTCGATAAACCACAAACGGTGTTCTTGCGCAGTCTCTGACGGGTTTCTGTGAAAAAGATAGAACGTTTCAAGGAAGCCGGGTTCATCAATAATGCAAAACAGCTCCCCAAGGCGAAACTTGACAGTGTTGTACAGAAAGAGGGCATGGTCCATAGGGGGCAAACGTAGCAAGTCATCGGCGTCCACTTGAAGCTTAGGTTGCCACTGTAAGCTGAATGCCGTTCCATCCAGATTCAATGGAGCTAGAGGAGTATCTGGACTGCCGACAGCGTTTTCTAGAATGGTGAACACCCGTCGGCAGAAGGTCCAAGTTGAAGTCGGGCCAAGAAATACTGTATTAAAGCCAAGTTAGTGCATCATCGTTAGCGATGATCAAGATGGAGACATGCCAAGATTTCCTGGATCAAGAGGCATTGAACAGAGATTTGATAGATGATCTGGACATACAGAAAAGAGATGATTGAGAATCTTGGATGAAAGCAAAGTCACTGCCGATGAGGCTATTTCTGGGACGTTGAGATTGCTCTCTATCCCGCGATTCACCCTCAGCAGGACGGGAGTAAGACATGGGCCTGATTGACGAAGTAACGGTCGCAATCGGTGGAGTGACAGGGTGTTCCGGCTGCTGTTCTGTTGGCTCGGATTAGCTGAAATCGATGCGTTCTGTGCTAAAAACATGGTCGAAGGCTTGCACGAGCTTATGGGTAGAACATACCCAACTGAGGCTGTTCGTGCGCCCCGCTGACTTGCGCAGATGACAGCAGAGTTGACCGGCAAGTTCTCGTCGTTGGTTGAGGCAACGGCCTCGTACTGTCGTCAGTATCTAATGTGAGAAGGTGGGGAAGAATGGTGCGCCTGCACATACGAGGACCGTGTAATCTCAACCTGTCTTTGAGGTGATGTAACAGGAGCCTGCTCGGGCTCAGACAATTGTTCGGCCGACACGCTGTGTTCTTTCTCGAACAGTCGTTGCTGCAGGTCGCGTAGATAGCGCTCGGGAACAGAGACATAGTCCTTCTCGGTAGCGTATATACATGAGGCGCCCCGCCGTGCACATCGTTGGCACGGTTGACCGCCCGAACAGCGTACTTTCGCACTCCGGCAATCTTTGCATCTGCAGAACACCCGCGCCCGGAGCTTAGCGGATAAAACAGGCTTTCACTGGATCTCATGTGGTGTGGGACGTACGCGCGGGCCCGGCGGAAGAGACGTGGTGTCGAGTCCGGGGCTCTTTTCAAGTCCATCACTATCGCTGAAGGGGAAAGCGGTGCCAAAAGTCGTTGCAGCAATTCAGGGGATCTCAAAAGAAGTTGTAGGTCTTAAGCGCGTAAGTAGTTGAAGACGGGAATCGCATCCGATGGCAAATGCGTGCTGCCGAATCGCGTAAGGTATCTCCGGCGCTCGTGCGGGGTAAAAGATAGCACAGACCCGCTCTAGACACCCTGGGGTACCCATCCCAACTACCATATCTGGCATACGGCTAACCGCTATCGGATTACATGGTCCCGTGTTAACTCCTACTTTAAGACGCGATCTGTTGAGCAGTTTAGCGCAATTCTTAATAGCCGAAAACTCTTCTTTACCTTTCTTTACTCGAGCCCGTCTGCGGTGGCCTTGTAATCCTTGTCCTGCTGCACGGCTTGGACTACCCCGCAAATTCTGAGTGGGGGAGTGAGATGATGTGACCGCATGCTCATTCTTAGATCTGATATTGGTAGGAGTTCATGTTCCCACAAGATCAGATCTATCTAACCACAATTAAGGTTAAATACGGGCCGCCCCGTTGACATCCATGACTTAGCGATCGTCAATATCGGCTTAATGTTCGCGTGTCTTATAATTCTTATTAGAGTCTTAGTAGCTGCGATTTCGGCTACTAATAACGTTAGTAAGTTCTAAAAGTTTTATATAACTAGCTACGTTAGTGCAACTACTACTAACATAATACTATATCTAGCTATTAAGCGCCGCACTAGGGGTCTCGGAGGTTCCCTACTTGAACGCGGAGTTTAGAGAAGTTAGAAAGTTAGAAAGCCTTCTATTACTACTAGTATAAAATTATAAGGTCTCTATTAAAAGAGATCTTTAAGGCTCGTGTCTCCGCATTCGAATAGTAGTATATCGATTTATACATAGCAAAGGTTGCCTACGTTAATTAGGGTTAGGGTTAGGGTTAGGGTTAGGGTTAGGGTTAGGGTTAGGGTTAGGGTTAGGGTTAGGGTTAGGGTTAGGGTTAGGGTTAGGGTTATACCTCGACTTCAATTCGCACCACGAGGCAAACCTAGATTATGACCGAAAAGCCCCAGCCGCTGTCGACGCAGACCGCGACTCCTAGTCAGACCCTCTTCGCCCCGAGCGTACCAGTCTCAACACA